GTTTATGTCAGCATAACATTCCTTATGGGTATTCGGACGTTGGATGTTATTTTGTCGTCGGCTATTTCATGTAATACCATATTGTGTCGTGTGAGTTGTGAAACAGCTTCATAAATTTCATATGTGTTGAGGTTCTGCGTAGCGATTATGTTATCTGAGCAGGATGGCTCTCGAGATGCAGATCATTTATTGTTCCTTAGTCGTGCTTGAGTTTTGTAGCATATGGCGCTATCTGTCCCCCAGAAATTTCGTTATGCACTTCGTGTGCTTGTGGTTGAGATTTGAGTATTTCACAGGTATGAGCACTTTTGCTCGGTAAGTAATTCCTTTATATGTGTGGATAGGGTGGCATGCCGCCACGGGTATCATTGTTGGAGCGGGTTGCGCGCCGCAACAGTGTGATATTGGTTAACAATTTCCCATGCCTATTCTTGTGTGTTTTGTTTCCTATATTCTGAGGAAGGTTCATAACACCTTTTCCGTTGTCTAATTAGTTACGCTGGTTGAGTAGTCCTTTCCAGAGTTCGTTTCCTTATGTATCACATCCGAGTTTGTAGCTTGTTGGCACATCGCGGCATTATGAGATTTTTGGCAGTGTTTCAGGTGGCTTGTTGCTTGGCAGCTTATACTGGGTGAGACGAGATTAGTGGACATGGGATCAGTGCAATTGGGTTTATATGGAGAATATTAAAGAGCAATTATCATTACATGGTTCAGAATGAGGTAATAGTTCGTGTCAGGAGAAATGACTTAATGAATTGTTGACTCGGCAGTTGGTTATGAGTTTCTACACACCTTTTACGTCGCGGCAGTATTTCAAGAGTTGTAACGGGACTTATATGAGTCATGAGGTGTGTGTGAGCATCAGAGTCGTGGAATATCGGCTATTATTATCAGAGGATGTTATTATAGTCATGTGAATTATACAGTGCATGGTATTAATTCAGCAAAGACATGCAATCATGTTTTGGTACATCGTGTGGTGATTGATACGGTGTTCGTATGTTGGAAACAGGCCTAGTAGAGAATTTCGGGTTTTGGAATTTGGCTCTAAGGCTTATTTGGCTAAGTAAAAAGGGAGAAGCTTTAGATTTGTTCGAGCAAATGTGCTCAACTGAGTTGTGGTAGCACGGGTAGGTGCACGAGGGGTTAAATTATGATTTCAGACAACTCCAAAGCAGTTCTTACCACGTTCAAGGACGAACATATGTTTAAGTGGGAGAGAATGTAACGACCCCACCGGTTGTTTTGAGCTCTAGCGCGTCGTTCGGCGGTTTGAGGTCACGAACAGCTTCACTTCAGGTGTTACGACTTGTACGAGTGGTCGGAACTGGAATTTCGGTAGTTCAGAGTTTATTTAGAAAGAGACTTCTCACTTCGGAAGCTTCAAGTTGGAAGTATTGACTAAGGGTTGATTTTGAATAAACGACCTCGGAATCGGGGTTTGAAGATTCCAACGGATTCGTATGATTATTTTGGACTTGGGCGTATGTCCGGATCGGGTTTTGGATGATCCGGGAGCGTTTCGGCGCCTCTTGTTGAAGTTAGCATTTTGGAAGAATTTCATAAATTTGGGTTGAAGTGCATTTCAATGTTATTGATGTCCGTTTGGGATTACGAATCTGGGAATAGCTCCTTACGGTGATTCTGGTATTGGGAGCGCGTCCGGAAGTCGATTCCTAGGTCCGTAGGTCATTTTGGAGTCGTTTGGCGAAAGTTAGAAATTTGAAGGTTTTTGAGAAGTTTGACCGGAAATGGACTTTTTGATATTGGAGTCGGAATCCGATTCCAGAAATTGGAGTAGGTCCATAATGTCAAATATGACTTGTGTGCAAATTTTGAGGCCAATCGGACGTGAATTGATAGGTTTCGGCATCGAATGTAGAAGTTTGAAGTTCTAAAGTTCATTAAGCTTGGTTTTGGTTGCGATTCGTGATTTTTGCATTATTTGATGTGATTTGAGGCCTCTAGTAAGTTCGTGTCATGTTTTGGGACTGGTTGGTGTGATTGGATGGGGTCCCGAGGTCTCGGGGCCTCGGGTGTGTTTCGTGGTGGTTTTGGGGCAATTTTGGTTAAGTTGTTGTTGCAGGTTTGCTGGTGCTGATGTTGTTCTTCGCGAACGAGAAGGGCCTCACGCGTTCGCGAAGAAGGAAATTGGACTGGGCTCTTTTTGTTTTACGCGTTCGCGAGTGGGCAGACGCGTTCGCGAAGGGGTAGCTGGTAAAGCTTCGCATTCACGGGCCCTGTCTCGCGTTCGCGTAGAGGAGCTGGGGGGGCTGAGGCAGATTGTGCTTCGCGAATGCGAGGGGCTTGCCGCGTTCGCGAAGAAGGATTTCTGGGCGTGGGGGCTTTGAGCTTCACAAACGCGAGGGATGTTCCGCGTTCTCGAAGAAGGGCAGTGCTGGGCAGTGTGATTTTAAAGACAGGATTTGGCCATTTTTCCTCCATTTTCCATTTGATTGGGCGATTTTCGGAGCTCTTGGAAGGGATATTTTCATCATCTATGTCAATGTAAGCGATTCCCACCTATTGCAAGTTAAATACTTGGATTATGTATGGACTTAGACATGAAAATTTGTTGAAATTTTGAGATTTGAAGAAAAACTTAGAAATTGGTTTTTTTGGATTTTGACCACGAAATTGGACATAGAATTGGGAATAAATTATATATTTGAGTTCGTGAGGTTATGGGCAAAATTTATCTTCGAAAATTTTCGGAATCCAGGCACGTGGGTCCGAGGGTGATTTTATCGACTTTTCAAGTGGAGTTGGGAATTTGTTGTAAATAGGATTATAATGAGTATTTGGGTATATATTAATGGATTTGCATAACTATTGACTAGTTTTGGAGCGTTGGGCGTCGGTTTGAGTCGTCGGAAGGGCTTGAGAGCTGGTTATGGTACTTCGGAGCGAGGTAAGTCTCCTTTCTAACCTTGTAAGAGGGAATTAACCCCATATGTGAACTAAATTATTATGTACTTCTATTTGTGGGGGCTACGTACGAACGAGGTGACGAGAGTCCGTACGTAGCTACTAGCTATGCCTATGTCCGGGTAGTTTTACGCTCACATCATGCCTTGTTGATATTGTTATTGATTTATGTTTATTGCTTGCCTTGAGAGGGAGCGAGATTGATTTTGCTTATTAAATGTTTTGAAAGAAGTGAAATTGAAGAATATAAGATTTAAAAGGTTTCATTTTAACTTCATAATTTGAAAAGGAATTGAGGAATATTCTAATAGCTTAAGAAATCTATGTGTAACCGCGTCGCATATATGTTTCGCGTGCGGGGTAATTTTCTTAAAAAGCTACAAGCTAAATTTCCCTTATTTTGAAAATAATCAAGAAAGAGATAGGATTTTAATGTTAAATTTATATTTGACCGCGTCGCAAGTATGATCCGCGAGCGGGGCGATTCCTTAATTTTATATTTGACCACGTCGCACGTATGATTCGCGAGCAGAGTATTTCCTTCTCCTACTCTTATGGGATCGGGTCGTTCGCCTCGGCGGGATTTTGTGTACCACACTCTCATGGGAGCGGGCCGTTCACCTCGGCAGGTTAATAGATGCATCTATGTTTTGCGCTGTTCGACCCTCGGCAGTGCACAATTTACTTTTATGTTGGATCAGGCCGTACGCCTCGGCATTTCCTATATATATATATATATATATATATATATATATATATGCTCCGGTTACGGTGGGAACTTGCTAGTCGAGAGCTTGAGTAAAATTGTAAAGAGGGGAATTGTACCACATATTCTATACATGTTTATTTCATATATTTACTCTGTTTCATATTTATTCACTTCTTTACTGTAGCTGATATTATTGAACCACTAGTAAGTGTCGAAGTCGACCTCTCGTCACTACTTCTTTGAGGTTAGACTGGATACTTACTGGGTACGCGTTGTTTTCGTACTCATACTACACTTGCTGTGCATTTTGTTGCACAGGCACATGTATGTCTAGTGGCCTAGCGGGCGCAGCGGCATGGTTGATACGGAGACTTAGGTGAGCTGCATCTCTCTAGACGACCCGCAGCCGGCAGAGTCTCCTTCCGATTATTGTATTTTCTTTTCTGTCCAAATTTGTATTCCGGACAGTTATTGTACTTCATTTTATTTCTTACCTGATTGCTCATGGACTTGTGACACCGGGTCGTGGTGTCTGGCGCCATCACGATCTTTAACGGATTTTGGGTCGTGACACTACACTTAAAAAATGGTGATTTATTTTTTTTTAAAATTTCATTCAATAAGATGATTGTTTTTTGGGATAACAACTGGAGTATTATTTGGCACAGATTTTAGTGGTCCATTTGAACGTGCCGGCAAGTGGCGGAAGCAGGATTTTCGCTAAGGGGTTCGAAACAGAAAAATTAAAAAAGATTGTAGCTAGTGAAAATTGAACCAGTGACTTTACAAAAATTTTGAATCCCCTTGCCCACTAAATTATACTTTTGGGTTGTGTCAAGAGGATTCAAAACATAATATATAAAGGTAAAAATCGAATTTTACCTCTATATATATATATATATATATATATATATATATTAATTTTTTAACGAATCCCCCTTCTGCCCCTGGCAACAACGTACTTGGTACATGGTAGCAACTAGCAAGTTATAAATATGGTCAGCTCTTAGATTTTATCTTCTTTATTTTTTCGATAGACCTTTAATTTTACGAATTAAAAACGAGTTAGTTTCTTTAACAGACCATTGTTTAAATGCAAAATTAACCAGGAAAGAATCATTAGTGATACCACTATTAGAGTCGGTGACATAGTAAAGTAGGATCATCCTCAATCATAATCAAACAAAATCATCCAACAAACGGATCCACTGAACTACACATCAAAGTTGAAAAGTTGAAAACATGGTCACTAATAAATACCTCCGAGTTGTTTCCAAAAAAGAAATATATCAACCAAAAAAAAAAGAATATAATAATACTTTTTCTCCTTACATAGAACGCAAATAAATGGTATTAAAAGGGACCATGGGCTTCCTGCACTACACACACATTTCAAAATATGACTCTTCCCTTGGCACTTGCCGTGACAATATTTCTTATCTTTCTTGCTTACAATTTGTACCGCCGGCTGAAAGCCAAACTGCCGCCCGGTCCACGGCCATGGCCCATCATCGGAAACCTCTTCGACATAAAACCGTTGAGGTTCCGGTGCTTTGCCGAGTGGTCCGAAATATATGGTCCCATCTTCTCATTCTACCTTGGCTCACAGCTGAATGTGGTTGTGAATAATGCACAACTTGCTAAGGAAGTTCTCAAAGATAATGACCAAAATTTGGCTAATAGGTTTAGGACTAAACCACTTGCAAATGTGAGCAGAAATGGCAGTGATTTGATTTGGGCTGATTATGGTCATCATTACGTGAAAGTTAGAAAACTCTGCAACCTTGAGCTTTTCACTCCTAAGAGACTTGAAGCTCTTAGACCTATTAGAGAAGATGAAGTCACTGCCATGATCCACAACATCTTTACAGACTCCACAAAGCCAGGTACGCTTTTCACTTTTCCCTTTTATTTAATCTTTTTTTTTAATGCCCATATTTGTGCGTAATAACTTCATTTCACTAAGATTATTTCTTGTCTGGTTTTCCAAACATGATTTGATTGCAGGGCTAAGTTCTCTTATTAGAAAAGGCAAAAAATTTAACAACCTACCAATAACCTATATAGATGAAAATAAATTAAAGTTAGAGAACAAGGTGAGTTAACAATATTATACCTGGGGAAGGCTTAACTGATGTCCGCCACCCATGTGCTTGTATTTATAAAGAATTTGTTGTATATAATATGTAGCCTCATTTACAATTTTAAAACAGTAAAAATCCAAAAATAATTATATATCATCTACCATCATATATTAAATCTCGTTATTTATTATTATTTTGAGTAATCAAAAAACAGTGCAATTATTTTTTTAAAATTTTAAAAATAATCCACGTTAAAGAATTTAGAGAATATTTGCATATATAAATAAATAAGAGTTTAACTTTCATAAGAGAACAGTATAAAAAATATTATATATTTAACAGCTTAAAAGATAATTATAAATAAAGACCAATAAAAATAAGAATAACGACAGGAAAGATAATACATACTCCGTAATACAGCATATAAATTTACTGATAATAAAAAATATTTTACTATATAGTACAAGTTAAATCCATTCAGATATTAATGTGGATATTGGCGTTATGGCGTAAGCACTGTAACTCCACGAGATAGCTTTCTCCTGTTTGGCCAAAAGTAAATTTTTTTGTTAAAGATATTTTTTTTTTTTCTAAAGTTAAAGTGTTTAGCAAAGATTTTAAAAGAAAAAAAAACAATTGGAGTAGAAGCGAAAGTAGTTTTTGAGAACTAAAAAAAAGTTTCTTCCCAAAAATATTTTTCTACTTTCTAAATTAATTATTCAAATACATATTATTTTTTACCAAAAATTATTATTATTTTAATAATTTAAAAAATATATTTTCCAAAATAAATTGATTTTAAAAGTTTAACCAAACGGCTATTAATCAAGAAATCGATGATAACGGGACAGAAATAGACCCCACAGCAAAAGATCCTTTTACAGATAAAGGTGTAGTCAGTAGTGTACTGTTTCCAAAAACTGATTGGGTTTGAAGGCGGGGCAAGGGCGGCAAGCAGCCTCTTTGAGCATGTACGCATGTAGCAACCCTTCTTAATTCCTAAAATACCCTTTTTCCCAAAATTGTGTTATTAAAGGTGTCCTCGGTCCTCCTGTGATGAGACTTTTTTAAGTAAAGTGATTGATTTTGATACGGAGGTTTGGTAAAGTAAAATTGACACCTAAAGAACTAGAGTAGTACTTTTTAGAACATTTAAAGTAGGTACACATCCGTGATACAAATAAAAAAAGTAAAAGAAAGGGAAAATATGACACTATGTTTTCTGAACAATTCGAGATCAAGTTGACCATGTTCAATTTTGATGTGCGGTTATTAGTTTTTCTCATGAGTAAAGAATAATAGATTGTCATTACTATTTTTTGTTTGGTAAAACACAATATCACTTCATAGGCACTGCCAAACTGGAGCTGGAAAGTTTGTACCTATATAATGGCAAGTTTGATATTCTTAAAAAAAAAAGTTTCATAACTCGCTTCCCTTTGAGTTTTAGTTGCATAACGAAAATCAATTAATTAGTTTAATCAATAGTAACAAGTACGTACCTACCTTGTTTTCGATTGTCAATCTGCACTAACTAGAGTACAATTCTTTTAGCTAGCTCTTATTGGCGGAGGCAAAAATTTTGTTTTAAAAAAAAGTTAAAAAGATTGTAGCTAGTGGGAATTGAACTAATGACCTTACAAAGGTTTTGAATGTATCAAGGAGATTCTAAACATAATATATAGTTGTGAAAAATAAATTTGCCTTATGTATACAGTGTAATTTTTTGGCAAAAGGGATTCGGGTGAATCCCCTTCCGCCCCCTAAATATGCACCCGATCTTAAATAACCTAATAGTGTAGAAAGATTTGTATACTTACAATATATTGCACTATAACTAATATAAGTTCATGTTCTTAATGTATGCAGGCAATGTAGGTAAAAGCTTGATAATGAGGAGCTACTTGGGATCAGTAGTATTCAACAATATAACAAGGCTAACATTTGGGAAGAGGTTTATGAACTCACAAGGTAAGGTTGATACGCAAGGTCAAGAACTGAAAGACATAGTTTCCAATGGGATGAAGATTGGAGGAAAACTGAACCTAGGGGAGTTTGTTCCATGGCTACGTTGGGCTTTCAAGGATGACAACGAAGCTCTCAAGGCTCAAGATAGTCGTTTGGATAGATTTACTAGGGTTATTATGGAAGAACACACTATTGCAAGGAAAAAAACTGGTGAAACTAAACAACACTTTGTCGATGCTTTGCTCACTCTTCAGAAAGAATATGATCTTAGCGATGACACTGTTATTGGCCTCCTTTGGGTAAGTCACTAATACTCTTTCCCTCCCATTTCAAGGTTTCAGTATTTAGTTGAGTTCGTTAATTTTCTTTGCAGGCACAATGTTTTGATTATTACTGCTGATAGATAGTCGGGTTACTCCTAACAAATTATAAAATTGAAAATTAACTCATCCTACAGGAGTTAATGGTAACTTGGTACTATCATTGAGTGCTTATAATAAAAGAAAGGGAAAAATGCCAGATTTGTCCCTCTACTTTAGTAAATTATCCACGTTTGTCCTTACTTCTACTATCCGTCCAAATACGTCCCTACCGTTAAGAAAGTAGACAAAATCGCCCTAACCCTAACGGAGATCGAACGTGGCACTGAGACCCTTCTCTTTGACTGCCAACTAGATAAAGGGTGCTAATTAACAATGTGGTGTTTACAATCTTCAAGTTCTTTATGTTCATGTTTACATATATGAGATAAGGTACCTTAGGCTTTGATTTCTTTTCTTCTATTTATTCATTTTTCTAATCTTCAACTCTTCACAAAATTAAAAATAATTTTGCAGCTTAAAGGTTTGTGATTTTGAATCTCGATTCATCTATTAAGCAGTTAAAATTTGCAAACACCCCATTGTTAATTAGCACCCTTTATCTAGTTGGCAGTTTAAAATAAGACTCCCAGTGCCACGGTGGATTTCTGTTAGGGTTAGGGGCGATTTTGTCTACTTTCTTAACGGCAGGGACGAATTTGGACGGATAGTAGAACTAGGGACAAACGTGGATAATTTACTAAAGTAGAGGTAGAAATATAGCCTTTTTCTCTAAAAGAAATAATATATATAGCATGAGTAGGTTTTTAATTGAAGAACCAATAAAGTAGAGAAGAAAGAATATAAGCGTATAATAAAATAATGGAAGTGAAATAATTGGATGTGTTAGGTGTTAGAAGTGGAAAACAGCACAATCTTTTTCGCTTTTGGTCATTATCATGTCTTCACGGTCAGAAGAAAAGTTTTGACTAAAACTATAGTATAATTTAATATGTTATGAATCAATTATTTTAGGATATGGTAACAGCAGGGATGGATACAGTAGCTATAACAGTTGAATGGGCTATGGCAGAAGTAGTCAAGAACCCAAGGGTTCAACAAAAGGTCCAAGAGGAGCTAGACCGGGTTATTGGGTCGGACCGTATCCTAACCGAATCGGATATATACAAACTGCCATACCTACAAAGTGTAGCCAAGGAATCACTAAGGTTGCACCCTCCAACTCCACTAATGCTTCCCCACATGGCTGGTGCCAGTGTCAAAGTTGGTGGTTACAACATTCCTAAAGGTTCCATTGTACACGTAAATGTTTGGGCACTTGGACGTGATCCAAACGTGTGGAAGGATCCTTTGCAATTCAGACCCGAAAGGTTCACAGAGGATGATGTTGACATGAAGGGTCATGATTTTCGACTGTTACCATTTGGTGCTGGTAGGCGTATTTGTCCTGGTACAAATCTTGCCATCAATTTGGTCACCTCTATGTTAGCTCGCTTATTGCACCATTTTAAATGGTCTCCACCTGCTGGAGTCAAGCTTGAGGACATTGACATGTTGGAGAGCCCTGGAACTGTCACTTGCATGCTAACGCCTCTACAAGCTGTGCCTACTCCTAGATTGTCTGCACACGTGTATCAGCGTCTTCCTGTTTTTGTATAAAATCTTTATTCCTCTCATGTTACACTCACCCTTTTGTTTTACGTTTTTTTTTTTTTTTTGG